TTTTTTTCTTCTATATTGTTATTATCTTGGAAGGAAATCTTTTGATGATTTTCGACGATGATTTATATATGTAGAATCTTTTGTTGAATCTCTTCTGAGGGTGATGGAATTGATTTTTCGAAAGCAATTTTTAATTTTACGTCAAGGCGATGATGGAGGATGATAAAACAGATTTTTATATATATATATATATTACTGTTAATAATTATTCGAATAATTTTACACGCGAAAATCAATTAAAAACGCTGTCTGAAAGTATAAAAAAAAATAAACAGTATCGCGCGATGAAATGCTTTCAAATTCCCCAGATAATAAAATTCGTTATCACGATTCAATAATAATTCCATTTTTCCCGGGGATAGCAGGATACGTAGGGAAGGTATTTTAATCCGTTTCGACGTGTCCACAGAGAATGTTAATTTTGAAATCCCCCTCGCGCGCGTGTGTCGTAGCCCACCTTGTCCGTGGTCAATATCATGTGTAGAGTGGATGTGCAGTTGGACAAGGTCTCGTCGTAAATTGAATTGCAGCCTGATGCGAGGTTTATGCTCCTAATGAATTATTTGCCCTGTCCACGTAAAACAAACTCCAAGATTGCGGAAACCCTCCTGTTTGCCCACGTTCGCTAATAAATACGTCCGGTATATCGGTCTGATAAGCATCGCTCGGCTCACAGAGACGTTTGTTTGTCTCTCGCTCTTACAAATGCTGCATTTTAATCCTTGGACCGTATCTATTGCACGAAACGATTCCCGCGTGATCGTTGAAACCTCTTGCGAATCTTTTCCAAGATTTCTTACTTATGAATTTATTAAATTTCTGGATTAATTATAAATTAGAAATATAATAGAAAGCATTAAAAGTTTTTCTGCATAGCATCTGCGAGTATATATTTAAGAAGGAAATGGTTTATTTTTAAAAAAAATTTATGTAATCCAATTACATCCAATTCGTTGTATCCTTCGATTCGTCATCTAAAATTAAAATTATTCCTATATTTTTTTTTAATTAAATGTAATTTCGAAAGCATAGAAAAGAATTCACTTGATGTATACCAATTATTTCTTCACTTCATTAAAATTGCAAAATTTTTCAATCCAACTCGTATACATAATAGTCAAAATAAAATCTTAAATTTTAAAAATTTATATTATATTTATGATGATAAATAAAGATTCACTCATTTTCAAATTTCTCTCTACAGTTTCTTCTCTGTACGCTTTCTTTCTCCATCCATATTTTTCTGAATTTTCGAATATCCCTTCCTTTTTTCTTTTCTTTTTTAAATTAAAATCACAGTGCATCGTGTTATCCATAGCCATTTAAATCTTTTCGCTCGTAGACGTTCGATCGCGCTTCCTCCCCCAATAAAAAACACAACAGACGCATAGAAACACGTTACGGTATATTGGAGTTTGCGAGCGAGAACCTTTGAATTTTGCACTGGACGCCGGTTCGTTCATTAACTCGTGCTAGAGGGTAGACGATAATGGCTTTTCTACCTCCCGCGCGTTGAAAGCTTGGTAAAATATTCGTATCCGCATTGCTCCACAATTAATTTTTGCGCGAATACGTTCCGATATAAAGGTATTCACACCTTTAGGTCCCACGCGAGGGATTGGACAACGCGTCAATGCTTAAATGGCCAATCTTGATTATACTTGATTGTTTCAAGTGATAATTAAGGGAGAGTTATTGTTGTTGTTCGTCCGTTTGAAATGATCCGTGTCGTGAAAAATATGTATATGCACAATTTTGAAATTTGTCGAGAGAATTGTAGAACGTGAAATGATACACGACATACGACGATCAATTGGACGATGCGCAAAAAATATCTCATTAACGATCAAACGAAATTTTACAAAGGTGTATCTGATGCAATATTCGCGTCTCATTGGGATAGATATATAATTATAACTTTATTTCGATTTGGATAACCTCTCTCCCTCCCTCCGTAGTCGAAATTTAATCCGATATTGGGCGTGCACAAGGTGAATGGGAAGATAATTTTAATCGATAGTAATGACACGCGATAATCATGATCATCGATATCACTGTACAAATGGAAATGTATTACTCGAGGTTTGGGTTGGGTTGCACTTTGAAGTGCAAGTAATATCCTAAATTTCCTCTTGTTTATGCATTCACCATTCCCATCGTTAAAGGGTGGATGCATCCGTACACATATGCATATGCACACCGCCCAAATGAACATGTCAAGAGCATAACGCACTTGCGTACTAATGCACGTTGCGTGTTGGTACTGAGAAGTGTGGGCGGGCTGAGAACATTGCCGTAAATCCGATATCCATCGGAGGTGACGATTATTGGTTGAACCTAGCACATTGTATCCTTTGATCTGTCCTCGTTGATATTGATCGAGCGTCATGGATTTTGGATGATAATTCTGGTAATCAATCTGATAAACATATTGAAAATCGTAGTATTCGAATTTGATTGCTTAATAACCATTGAATTACTCTCTCTCTCTCTCTCTGATCAATTGAAAAATAAATAAGAAAAAAATAAAAAGAAAAAAAATGACAAAGATATCAATATTATACGATTTCGTCGCACAAAAGTTAGACGTATCCTTGTTATATAAATTTTAGAACAAACAGAAAATTAATCTCTTAAATAATATTAATCATATTAATATATCTAGAGAAATGTTACATCGTTAAGAGATAATATTTCTAAAGA